CGCCGCTGCCGCCGCTGCTGCTCCTGCTGGCGCTGGCGGCGCCCTCGCGGGGCGGCGGGGGCTGCGCCGAGCTGGCGTGCGGCGAGCGGGAGCGCTGCTGCGACGCGGCCAACGCCACCGCGGTGCGCTGCTGCAAGCTGCCGCTGCACGCCTTCCTCGACAACGTGGGCTGGTTCGTCCGCAAGCTGTCCGGGCTGCTCATCCTGCTCGTGCTCTTCGCCATCGGCTACTTCCTGCAGCGCATCATCTGCCCCAGTCCACGCAGGTACCCGCGCGGGCAGGCGCGGCCCGGGCCGCCGGGGGCCGCGGGGCCGCCCGACGACGACGACGACACCTCGCCCGCGCTACTGCGCGACGAGGCGGCCGCGGGTTCCCAGGACTCGCTGCTGGACAGTGGCGGCGGCGGCGGGGGCCGGGGCGGGCGCTCGGCCCCACCCTGCGCTTCGGAGCACGAGCTGCGCGTAGTCTCGCCGGTCTTCCTGCAGCTGCCCAGCTACGAGGAAGTCAAGTACCTGCCAACCTATGAGGAGTCCATGCGACTACAGCACCTCAGCCCCGGGGAGGTCGTGCTGCCCGTGTCGGTGCTCGGCCACCCGCGAGGCGGCGGCTCCGGGGAGTCCGACGGCGGCGAGGGCCGCTTCCCGCTCATATGAGCGCCCGCGGCCGCTCGAGGACCGCGCGACGGGACGGGGCTGGGGGCTGCGTGTGGGACGCCACGGTCGGGGCGGCGGCGGCAGCCACCAACTGCCTCAGGCCCCGCCTGGCAACCGGGCCTAATCGCCCTGCGACTGGGTTGGGGTCATCCTCCCACCCCCTCCAACGTCCGCTTTCCCGGGATCTTAAGTTTCCCTACGTTTAAGACGGTTCAAGGAAACATTAAGCACGCGCGGCGCGGGCAACAGAGCGCACGAGCCCGGAGCGCAACTTTGAAGGACGTGCCCACCCTCAGCCTCGCCTCGGATTGTGTTCACCCACTCGTAAGTGCCTGCTTCCCGAATCAAAGAGAACACGTGAGCCCCTGAGAGCGTCGGGAGAAGGGCAGTAACCTTTAGGGGACGAGGGGGAAAGGACGCAGTTCCACTC